CTCGCCTTATCCACTAAACTGCCTAGTAATTGAGTTTCTACCTTATTACCTGTGGAGGCGTGCTAATTCACTGCGAATTGGGGAGCTAACCGCAATGGGGAAAAATATGACTCTCTGAAGAAAACTCACCGTCCGTGGCCCGCGGTCCGCGGCGGTGGCTGACTCTCTCTCGACCTTATCCGTACGTCTGCTCGTCGATGGCCATCTGCGCTCACCAGTGGTTCCATGCAGCGCGCGCCGTCCTTCATTCACAGCGCCGAGCCAAATGAGTGGGGGTGACCCGGCCTGCTGACAATGACCGATGACTGGCGCGAGGGCGCAGCCGGGGACAGAGAGAGGAGGAAGAAGAAAGGGTCAGATGTCTGGTGCGTTGTACGTCTGCAATTGGGTTGCGGCGATGATGAGAGATAAATACAGCACACGCCCGATCGTGGCTGGTCGTCGACTGAGACTCTGAACAGCCGCCTCTGCATCGTCGTCCAGGGTCAATGAAGCCACGAGCGAGGGGCGCCGCTCCAGGGGTCTCAGAGACCCCCAAAAAGCCTCCAACGGGCTGGGCAACGGGTCTCAAGACTCGTTGACGACCGCCCATTTGCTGCCAGAAGCATGCCGAGCTGAGGAGCTGCAGATAATCTAACGCTTTTGGAGTGGACGCGTAACTCCGCCAAGAGCAAAAAGATGGGCTCTTGGATGCCGACATATCCACCACCGCGGCGTCTTGAAGAAAAGCCAAGCAACACCGCAAAAGACCACATGGCATGGGATGGGATCGGTATGACCGTTTGCTGCCCATGTCGACCTTATCCCAAGCGCACAGCATCTTTTGCCGCAGCAGCACAATGAACAGAGATGCGCCACGGGGCTATGATTGTGAAATGCGACGCTGCATACAGTCTGTATTGTACGCCAAGGAAACTTACACAGACGCTCCTTGTTATGCGCTCCCCAAGACGTTTTGTCTGCCGTGCGAGCCCGGTATCCCGGCCGGCCCCCCGTCCCATTTCCTCTCGGCTCTGCCAGCGATCCTCGTCGTCTGGCATGACCATTGGTTCCCTATTCGGCGTTGCTTCTGCAGACCCGCGGCCCCGAGGGACCCCTTAGATGCGCAAAGACCCTTGAGCCACCTCGACGGCCCAGATTTGTGTGAGGCGTAGCCTTGGACAGAGACCAGTCTTTGAACGCGTACGGTATGATTTACGAACGCGTGTAAGGATACGGCAGAGCGACTCGCCGCAGCGCTGCCGCCAAAGGCTCGGCGTGGAAGGCGCGGAAACGGGGACTGGGGACCATTCACCTCGGCCGCACCGTAACGGGTATCCGTACACTAATAAGCAACTTTTCTCACGTTGTGACTGACTGACCGGCCGACCTATTTCCTTGCTGCCCTCCCATCCCGTCCGTCCTCCTTTTCCCCTGCATCCTGCATCTCTCTCTCCGTCGTGCTCGTTCTTTCCGTTTGCCTTACCTTACCCACCTTTCCCTTCGCGACCGCCTTATTTTTCCCTAAAACAGATACCCTCGCACTCTTGCGACCTTCATCACAACATCACCAACTTCACACCACTAATCACCACAAACAACCGCCATCATGTCTGGATACCCTCCTCCCGGTCAGCAGTAAGTATCGCGTCGCCCGCCTTCTGATCAAGTCGCAAACTGACACGCGCCTGCTAGGCCCTACTACGGCTCTCCTCCCCCTCCCGGCCAGCCTGGCTACGGCCCTCCTCCCGGCCAGCAGCCCGTAAGTTTACATCGCCCTCAAGAAGACGAAGGCTTGCTCACACCATCTCCAGATGTACTACCCTCCCCAGGGCCAGGCTCCCCCTCCCCAGGAGGAAAAGAAGGATGACAAGGGCTGTCTCTACGGCTGGTAAGCAAACACCCCCAAGTGCGGTCGCACATCGGTGACTGACACTGTCTCAACAGCATCGCCACTCTCTGCTGCTGCTGGCTCTGCGGAGAGACCTGCGAGTGCTGCCTGGAGTGCCTGACCTGCTGCTTCTAATCAACGCGCATAATACCGATGCACGAGTGCGACAACAAGAGATTCCCCCGAACGCGACCACGGCCTTGCTACTCTTTGGTTCGGAAACGGATGGACGGATGGTAGATGGACGGATCGCCAAAGGAACCCGCATAGCTTCTTTAGCCCTCGGACAGACCAGACGATGAATTCGATGTTTCTTCGAACCGCACTCATTCTCCCGGAAAGCCCAGGCATCGTGCGTCAAGTGTGACGGACGGCGACCCACGGCATTCTGATGCACATTATCATTTTTTTTTTTTTTTGTCTCACGATTACCCACATTGGCGATTGCGTTTCGCATATTTCCCCTTGTCGATTTCTGGACGAGTACTTTCGTAGCAAGCTCACGGGTGCCAACACTCGAGAGCAGATAATACAATTAGTAGTCCATCAAGGATCTGGTGTCTTGGAGATTGTGTGAGCATAGCTGTGATGCATAACAAGTGTCTGAGTGTGTTTGCTGTGATGCGTGTTGTGCCAAGTGTTTCGCCGCGTCAAACCACCTGAATACCTCACTGTACCTTTGGAGAAAGGGTATCGAGGCAGCAGTGACTTCTTTTTCCTCCCCTCCCGTCGTCGATAGATGTGCCAAAACTAGAAAACATTCCCAAAGAGCCTCGTCGCCGCATCGCCTAGGCCTTGGTGTCCTTCGGGGCCATGAGCTGGACGAATTCCTGGTCTGTTCATTTCGCGAATTGCACGTCAGCCGCAATCCTCCGAAGGGTGTGCTATATTTAGTCTAGGAAATTTGGGTGGGGGCGGGGAGGGGAATAGCGAGATGCGGCCGTCGGCAGAGCAGCGGAGAGCAGCAGTAGCGCAGGGCAATTTTGCTTGCTGCTGCTGCTGCTGCTGAAGCGTGGTCGTGCAGCGTTGCAGCGCAACCCGAGTCGACCGCTGGGGATGAAGCTTACAGTCAATGGAACCGTTGCCGTCCAGATCGGCGTGCCTGATCATCTCCTCAATCTCCTCGTCGGTGGCGCGCTGGCCGAGAGAGAGCAGCACCTGGCGCAGCTCTGACGGCGAGACGGAGCCGCTGTTGTCCTTGTCGAACACCTTGAAGGCGGCGGTGAGCTCTCTGTTGGGGTCCGCGGCCTTGCTCGACGTCGCGGGGGCCTCGCTCATCAGGTCGAGAAATTCTAGCAGCTGTCAATCGCCAGTTCGTTCGTACGTGACATCGGGCCCTACCGTCGAGGCTGATGTCGCCCTTGCCCTTGGGGTCGACTTCCCTCATGAGCTCCTTGACCTCTTCGATGCTGGGGTTGAGGCCCAGGGACTTCATGGCGATGCGAAACTCCTCGGCATCGATGCCGCCTGGTCACGAGGCCGTGTCAGTGTGTATTGTGTCGAGGGAGGTGCGTGTTGGGACTAACCGGTGTTATCGCGGTCCTGTCCATCGGGGGCACGTTAGCACTAGACTGATGTTCGTCCCAAGAAACCAGGGTCTCTGTAATGCGATCGCCGTGGCTCGAGGCAGGGTTGGGGGTTCGTGGACATACCCATACGGAAAAGACTGCCTTGTAGTCCTTGACTTGCTCCTCGGTAAGGTTGTGGCGCGCCTGCATGAAGACGACGGGTTAGAGGCCGTCAATCTCGTGGATATCGGAAACACAGCAGCAGCTCTATCTGAAGCTGGCGGTGCGAAAGGAGGGGCAAGTAGCGACGCACCATTTTTAATTTGGTGAGTTCTGCGGGCGTGAAAAGAGCGTCAGAGCAATTGATTCGGGCGTGCGCGGTGTCGGGTTATGGGATCGTTCGTCCGGTTCGAGCTGTATCGCGGTCGCTGGGATCGTCAAGTGTTTGTTGTTGACGCTGGGAAGGGGATGGATTGCAAGATTGGAGGGGAAAGGGAGGAAAACATGAGGTGAGGACCCCTCGGCTTGCCTCAGCCTGATTGACTGATTGGATTCACTACCACTACGTGCCTAGTTTTACGAGCCACCACTAGCTAGACCTTGTCGATTGCCTTGTGCTGCCGATGTCCGCGCCCCAGCTCGACTAGAGCTCCAGCCCAGCCCAAGCCAAATGCTCGTCCAGCTGTGTAAAGTGTGCCTTGTTTGTGAATTTGTCCCGCTAGCAGAGAGCCTGGCTGGGGAGGCCAGTAATGGTGCAGCACTGCAACGCCGTCGCAAGAGTCAAGAATCAATCACCCACGCAATTCTCCTGATGGGCAGTGGTCCCTGCAGTCTGGTCGTCGTCGGTCTCTCTTCTTATGAAGTGTCCCTCCTCCAGACTTCCCCTCACTCTGCCCAACCCAGCCCGCTTCTGACGGATCACCGCCAGCATGTGAGCGATGGTATGACGCCAGGCGGCCCTACGGCTCTCTTCCTGGGCTTAGCGCGTGCTCGCCTTTGGGGACTGAAGGATGAGGGTCTTGGCGGCAGAGCCAGATTCCGCCCGCGGACCTGCAAGCGTACGCGGCCGCATCCACATGGCGCCAGTCGAGGCGACCACCTCACCTTGCCGTCCAGCCCTGAACGCTGTCGGTCTGCCAAACGGTTCGCTATCGCTATTCCACTGGTCGACGGCGGGCAGACACGATGGGAGGGATTCCCGCCTCCCGCTCCTGCACTGCGGGCTGGGCATTTTCGTCCCTTCTTTTTCCTCCGGGAGCCCTGCTGCGGGAGACAGAACTGACAACCGTTCGGGCTTGGCAGGCCACGAACAGGGCCCTACGGCCCTATCCATGTTGATGTTGCCTCTGATGGTCCGGGTTGCGGGCGTTTGGAGGAGCCCGCGCTGTGTTTGATACCCAAGTTAAGCTCGCATGTCCTTTGGTACTTGAGCAGCAAGTACCTCTTCCTGCTTGATGATCTGCAGCTGCTTGTATGGAAGAGGCATGTTAGCCCAATTTGACCGCGTGAGGCTCCGGCCCTCTTTGCGTCATTTATCAAGTGAAGCTGGAGTCTGCTGCGCTGTCCACAAGGCCCAGAACCGAACGGCGACGGCTTCCCTGAGGCTGTAGACAATACGCGGGATGGATATGGACGTCTCTCTCTTGCAGAAATGTCACTGTGCAAAAACGGGAGCTTCGTATCGAAATGCTGAAGCACTGCACAAACATGGCCCGTCTGGTGCAACTGGAACCGAGCATTCCGCTGCCGCCCCTCCTTCCCCTTCTCCCCCTTCAAACCCCACCACTCCAGCATCAAAGACGTCTCATCCTGGGCTGCCTCTGAAGCCGCAGCCCCTCCAAACCAGCTTAAGCCCCAAGCGCCTGTAGCTGCCGCCCTCAGGTACCCGGCGGCTCCTCTCGCAGCCAGCTGACGGCGCCCCTCACCTCAGCTCAGCTCTCTCACCTGTGACCTCACCTCCATTGGGCCCCTCCCGGACCTCAACCCCACCGCATGCAACCTCTTGAACACTCCGTTATTAACGACACTTGGTCTTTGGTGCCGCTCCCGGTCTTGCGCATCTCCAGATCACATTGCAGAAGCCGTCTCCCGTCTTGAACCTCGGGGCTTCCAGAGCAACAGCAGCTTCTACTCACCCAGGCGGGTTTTTACCCCTCCCCCGCCTTTCCGGGACCAGCCACTCACATCATTCCAGGGACCTGTAAAGCAGCAACCTCCACAGTAAACAAAGCAACAGCCTGTCATCAAGCACCATCACAAAGCAGACATGTCGGGCTACCCTGGACAGTACGGCTACGGCGGCGGCGGCCATGACGGAGGCTACGGTGGAGGCTACGGAGGCGGCGGCGGCGGCTACCAGCCTCCCTCGGGCCCGCCCCCTTCTCACCACGGCGGTCACCACGGCGGCTACGGCGGAGGCTACGACCGTCCTCCTCCCGGCCCCCCGCAGGGCTACGGCAACTATCACGAGCAGCCTCCCAACCCAAACCCCGGCAGCAGCTACATGGGCAGGTACGCCCCCCCTTCTCACCCTCCCCCTCCAGGCTTGGATGTCTACGGCTACCCCGTGAACTCCCATGGTGACCAAGGAAGGCCCCGTAAGTTGACCCTAAGCTATCATGCCGGGCCGAGCTAACACGCCGCAGACATGCCCACCGTCAACTCCAACGACTGGGCGCACGGCAACAGAGGCGCGCCCCCTCCCCCTCCCACCGGCGTGCAGCAGTTCGGCCACGGCGCCCCCGAGGGCTATGGCTTCCAGTACTCCACCTGCCAGGGCAAGAGGAAAGCCCTGCTCATCGGCATCAACTACTTTGGCCAGGACGGCGAGCTCCGCGGCTGCATCAACGACGTCAAGAACGTCTCCGCCTTCCTCGTCGAGCGCTACGGCTACAAGCGCGAGGACATGGTCGTCCTCACCGACGACCAGCGCGAGCCCATGGGCCAGCCCACCAAGCAGAACATCCTCCGCGCGATGCACTGGCTCGTCCAGGGCGCCCAGCCCAACGACTCGCTCTTCTTCCACTACTCGGGCCACGGCGGCCAGACCGAGGACATTGACGGCGACGAGGACGACGGCTACGACGAGGTCATCTACCCGGTCGACTTTAAGGAGGCCGGCCACATTGTCGACGACGAGATGCACCACATCATGGTCAAGCCCCTGCAGCCCGGCGTGCGGCTGACGGCCATCTTCGACTCGTGCCACTCCGGATCCGCGCTCGACCTGCCGTACATCTACTCCACCAAGGGCGTCCTCAAGGAGCCCAACCTGGCCAAGGAGGCGGGCCAGGGTCTGCTTAGCGCCTTCCAGGCGTACACGGCCGGCGACCTCGGCGGTGTCGCGAGTTCCATCTTCAGCTTCGGCAAGCGCGCCATCGCCGGCGACGACGCCTACGAGCGCACCAAGGAGACCCGCACGTCGCCTGCCGACGTCATCATGTGGTCCGGCAGCAAGGACAGCCAGACTTCGTGAGTGCTTCCAGTGCTGTGTCATTTTGGAGATAATTAACTTGAGCAGCGCCGACGCCAACATCGCGAACCAGGCCACCGGCGCCATGTCCTACGCCTTCATTTCTGCCCTCAAGGCGAACCCCCAGCAGAGCTACGTCCAGCTCCTCAACAGCATCCGTGACGTGCTCGAGGAGAAGTACACGCAGTTGCCCCAGCTCTCCAGCAGTCACCCCATTGGTGAGTCCCTCTAGCTTTGTGTCGAGACTGCTTTGGCTAACCCCCTTAGACACGGATATTCTGTACGTCATGTAAACGTACTCGTGCGTATGATCGATTCTGGGACACGGGAGTACACAAAATAGGTTAATCATAGCAATAAGAATGGCATCCATTGATTCTTGAAATGCAATCCTGGTCTTGGGGTATCGATCCTACAGCTCCTGATTCAACACGCGTGCCACCAAACGCCTTTGCCAACTTCCAGCCGCTAATCCAGACAGCAAACCAACTCTAGTAATCTCAAACACAATGCGCCTGCCAATATCGTCCGCGCGTATACTCAAACACCATCTACATATCCGCAAAGGGGTCGTCGTCTTCAAAAGGGTCAAAAGTAGCAGCGCTCTTCTTGCGCTTGCTCGCGCGCTCGGGGCTGCTGCTGCCGCAGAGGTCGATGAGATCGTCGTCCGCCTTTCTCTTGCTCGCTGTCGAGGCCGAAGAGCCGCCAATGTTGGGCGAGCGCGCCGACAACACGTTTGCGGCCCGGCCGGCTGCTGACGTGCCAAAATGTGTACGGCGCGTCGCGTTCTCCTTGTCCTTAGCAAGGCCGTCGAACCGCGGCTTGGCCATGGCCGAGGACGTTCCCGCGCTCACCACGTTTCCGGCGGCCGTCTTCACCTCCCACGTCGATTTGGAAGACCGCTTCTTGCGGGCTTTTTCTGCGTCCAGGACCGCTGACATGAAATCCGGCGCCCGCGACGCGGATGCTGACGACCCGGGCATGCTGTTCAGGGGTGGGGTCGTTGACGGGCCGGGGGTGGCGTTGTGTCTGCTTGCAAAACTGCCGACCGTCTTCAACAGTGGCGCCGTCTTGGTGTCATGCGTTAGCCCGGCCCTCTTCCGGATCCCGTTGCGCACCGGCTCCCTATTCCGCGTTCCGCCGCCGCCAAACGATGCGAGCGGGTCCCGTTTGACGATGGGCTCGGGTGCTTTGGAGCTGCTGCTCGCTACCGCATTATCAAGGGAGCCCATCGGCGGTTTCGAGTAGTCGTTAAACTTGGGCGTGGACTGCTCTCGTCGGGGCGGTTGGAGGTTCTTGAGACGATCCCTCGTAGACAGCCCGCTCTTGGCCTGGGCGCTTCCCGGCGTCTTCTCCTTCTTGACCGACGCGAACATATCGCGAATGCTTCTGGGTTGGCCGTGGTGCGAAGAGCTCGAGGGTGTGTGCTCAGTCTTGACGCGCGCGAGCTCGTTGCGCGGTTCAGTTTTTGGTGTGACCAGGCCGCCGACAGTGGTTCTAGCACCTGCCCCTGGCTCTCTCTTGACGACCGTCTCTCGAACGCTCCTGCTAGGGGTCGCCGTGGAGACGGAAGTATTTGCAGAAGACGACGAGCTGGTCCGAGAAAGCCCGGATCCGCTGGCGGACGAAAGTGATGGCCTCGCTGGTGTGCGCTGGACGGGATCCGCGGAATCAGCATCGCCCAGTTTCCACATGATGTCTCCCTTGTCGCCGAGGAAGGGCAGCAACCTCGATGGTTCGAACTGTCGCACGGTTCTGGACGCCTCCTGTCTGCGCAACGCTTCAATCTTGCCAAGCTCCTTGTTCACCAGGGAGACCTTGTTCAGCTGCATCGTGGTGGACATTTCGTTTTTGCCAAAGATTGTCGTCTCGATGGGCTTCCTCTGCTGGCGGAGCTGCTCCTGGATATGGTCAATCACTTTCTTTGGCTTTACCAGATGAAACTTCTTCCAGTTGGGCTGTTCAAAGTAGGCGTCGAGGTATTTGCAGTCGGCGCAGCAGGGCCGCAGTGGCGTAATGGATGACGGGGCGTCCTCGAACTGGAGGGAAGCGTCATCAAACACCATCTTGTGGTACAGACCGAAAATAGCCTGGAAGAGCTTCTGGAATGCAGGACTCGGATCTACGAGATCGTGAAGACTTTTGAGACAAGGCAGCCACAGCGGAGCCATGTGTATCGGCTTGATCTCTTCCTGATGGTGAACAATATAGATGACAAGGTGAGATAGTTCAGACGTCATGTCGAGCCGGTCGAGACCCTTGAACAGGCCGGCGAGCAAGGTAAAGCTTGTCGTGGGCGGTTGGCTCTGACCCTCGAGAAGCTCAGCCGACGGCTCGTCTTCGCACCACGTCTGTCTTGCGGTTTGCGCCTCGGTGCTGTCGTCTTTCAGTACGTTGCTGACGAGCTGGCTTACCAACCCTGGAGGAGCGTTGATGACGGGCATTTTGTAATCGTTGTAGAACATCTTCACCTGATCAAGGGGAAGGTTGTTTCGCTTTGCTACATCGAGCAGCCTGTTCAGCAGACCCAAGATGAAGGGTACATGTTTCCGCAGCTCGCGAGATCCACATACGGCCGAGTTGACCCTGGATTTGGTCAGTCTCAATTCCTCAACAAGGGAGAAGCACCCACATTTTGTGCCAGTCGTCAAAGTTCTCAAAGAACTTCAAAAAGTCCGCGATAACGCGGCCGTGGTTCGCCGTTACGGGAGACTTCAGCAAGGTCATGGCCTCGTTGATCAGCTCCTTGGCGATGTTGATGGCCTCGACATTCTGAAAGTCTACCGGCATCTTGTTCATCGGGGCGGCAACCTGTAAGAGGGCGTTCTTGAAGAAAAAGCGGCGCAACCTGTATCTGTGTCAGATGTGTCTCCATTCACAACAAGGGAATACGTACACCCCGAGGGCTTTCGCCGCGGGATATCCCGTCCTGTCGGCATTCTGACACAACAAGTCGTAGTTGATTGTGGGGTGTACCGGCGTGTTAGCAGCGAGGCGCTCGAAGAGAGAATGGGCCCGGAAGACCAGGGAGACCACGATCAAGTCGCCCATGATGAGTGGATCTAACGCCTGGATCCAGTCCTCTCGGTTGCTGACCTTCATGCCGAGAATTCGGGTTTCCACTGGTGCTTCGCTCTCCTTTGGGAACACATAATCGCACAGCGACTCCAGGGCTTCGAAATGCTCCTGTCGCTTCACGGGGGCCTCCCACTGCTTGAGTAAGTGCCACCAGATGTTGGCGTAGGGCTGCGGGTTTTCCGCGAAATCAACAAGATCCAGTTGCGTGCTCGTGGGCACGATCATGATGGCCTGCGGCTGGTGAGTATACGTCGCGTCATGTGGAGGGGTCAGACCAACAGGTGCGAAATACTTGCCGAGGTCGGCCGTCGTCCCGGGGACGATCTTCTGATACCATTTGGGGTTATTCTCGCGAGCCTGGCGCTCTTCATCGAAATACCTCTGCTCCTGAGGCCCTTGCCAGAAGAAGAGCCCGCGGCGGGCACGCTCCCATGCAATGTTCCTCTCGTCGAGGACGTTGCCTTCCTTGCAGTCAATTTCCTCCGCAAGGTTCGCTCCCGAGAACCCCCTAAACTGGTAGACGTGCGGCGTGTGGCGCACGTGCTGGTACGTCTTCCAGAACCCGTCCTCTCCGATTTGAGACTCCGAGGCATGGCCGTTGGACTGCTCCTTGGACACCCACGCGTTGTACTGGCAGGCAGTCCCGGTGTATTCCAGGACCACGGGGAGAACCTCGAAGCCGGCCTTGGGGCACTCGCAGCGCAGTCGGGCGACAAGAGCGGCATCCGCGGCGCACATGTTCCGGGCCAAGACCCAGCTCTCAAAGTCCCGGATGTTCGCGGGCGGGTGGAGGTGGTAGAAGGCCCGCTGGTGCAGCAGGTTGCGCGCTTCAATCCTCGAGCTCCAGAACTTGAGAACCTCAGACAGCCGCCTGGAGGCAGCATCAGGTTCATCTTGACGGTTGTCGTTGGCGGCTGGCTTGCTGGACGTGTCGGACCCACCCGCCGCGTAAATGGCCTCGATGGCGGCGCACAGTTCGGTTCGCAGCGCGTTGTCCAACGGCGCCGAGGTCCCGTGCAGGACGCCGGGCCTCGTGCTGCGCTCAGGCTCTGTCATTTTGATTTCATCCGGCGTTTGTATGAGAGTGGCACATTGAGTTGGAGTCGTTTACAACATCTGATGTGAGGCGTGCGTGGAAAGCCAAAAAAAAAAAAAAAAAAAAAAAAAGAAAGGAGATGAGCTCGACGCGTGCGTGGGGGGCGGGTGGTGGTGGTGGGAGCTACGGCCCCTGGCCAGCTTGCTGGGTGCTGAAACCCGACGGCGAAGCTCACCCCCGCGATCTGCCCCGCTCCTACGGCACTTGAGGCGATCGGATGTAACGATCCGGCGCGGTAGACGGCAGAGGCATGCAATACGTCTGACTACATGGAAATGGAAGAACGAGTGAATTATTTGCTCGAGCTCTTTTCCACGGTAGGCGGTTGATTTTCAGGGTCCTGGTGGACTGTTTCGCGGTGCAGGGAGGACGCAGACATTCTTCAATAGCTGTCGAAAAACGGCTGGAAACAATGCATGTGATTGCAATCAGGGACTCTTCCATTAGATTCGTGGGCTCAGCTTTTGTTTGTAAATTTGGTATCTTGGTTCCTTTAATTTCATCCTTCCAACCAAGCCCAGTGCCCATTGAGCATATCGTCAGCATCTCTGGCCCTTTGCCTATCCAGCAGCACCATCATGACCCATCGGTCGACAACCTGGCCATCGCATCAAAACGAGTCAGACGCTCGCGGGATCGGCGGATCAAAGCGCGGGTAAACCCCTGGGGCCGTGCAGAAAACCGTTCGTCTGAAATTGTCGTCATTATCCCGACAAGCAAACAAGGCACGGAACGACGCATTTCGAAAGAATCTTCTTCATTCGCATCAAAAGACAAGACCCCGTAGTGACACGCTCCTCCAGACCCAGCTCGACAAGACCCAGAAACCCCAGAGCGTCGCCAGAGAAGCCGCCCCCACGACCACGAGCACCTGCCCTCGGACCTCGAACGCGTCGTCCATCTCCATGCGCATCAGCTTCTTCTGCTTGCTGTGGTAATAGAACTCGCCCGGCTCCTCCCTGGGACTTGATCTGGGACTGGGACTTGGCGTCGTGGATTCCTTCTGCGTGTACGTGTACGGTGAGCGACGGTACACGATGCTGTGTAGCCAGCTGGGCATCCAGCCGCCGCCGTAGTGGTGGCCGCGATCCCGGGATCTCTTCAGTGTGTACTTCAGGTCGACCCACACAAGGGAGAGGAGGAACGAGACGAAGATGATGGGTGTCATGATACCCTGCGAGAGTGTCAGTTTCAACTCTTATGGATCGTCAAGTTGGGACAAACCTTGTAGATGGTCGACTGCTGCATGGTGCCGGCATCGCTGCCGCTCCTCGTGGCAGTGAGTTTCGTGGCTGTTGCTGATGACGACATAATCCCACTACTGGACCGGGTACTCGACACACTTTCCGCAGACTGATTCCTTCGCATGTCGACGATATTAAGCTCTCAATGCGAGCTGCTTCCGATGAACCGCAATAGCTTGTCCACGGCAGCCAAAGTTCGTGGTGCCTGAGAGTCGGGAGGGAAAGCAAAAGACGTCGGTGACGACGGGACGACGGCGTGCGGAGACAGGAATACAGTTAAATATTTTGGAGCTTACAGTCGATCAAAGCCAGTCCGGGCGGGACCTTCGGCGCGGCCACCTGGTCACCGCCCGCTTTCCCGCCCGCCGCTCGTTCGCTTTCGCTTCACCCTTTTTTCTGTTAGTTCCCTGACGGTAATAGCCCATATCCTTCTACCGTCGGGTTCGCCTTCGATACGCCCTGTTTGGCGCGTGCACTGCGGCCGGGACACGGGAGTGACGGAGTTGGCCCCACTTGGCGCACTTTGCGTGTTGGGGATCAGCAGGAGAGGTCCAATCGACACCAGCACCTCGGCACGACACAGGGCTGCCCGACGCCTACGTAAAGCTTCGAAGGAGGGCCGATTCGCGCAGGCTGTGAACGCACAGCTTCCCCGTTGACCAGGGGCTCAGTGCGTTGGGCCTCGCACGTCGACAGGGCTGAGGTGCAGAGCCTCGGAAACGCGACGCTAGCGGCGCAAGCAACCGGCCGGCGCTCGACTGCGGTACATCATCGTCCACAGCCACAACTGCGACAATTGCGTCGGTGATCAGCGTGCGTTTCACCATCTACAGCTTCACTTTACGTTTTGACAGCTCGCCCTTGTTTTCCAAGACAAATGGCTCTCCAAGACAAATGTCTGATCCGCCCTCACGTGTATTACAAAGGTATCTCGTGGTCGTCGTCTAAATGGTTTCCAGATCTATCGAGTGTTGTGGATATCAAGCACCAAAATGTCCTGGGCACCAACGCGGGTCAGGTCGTCCATCACCAGAGCAATCTTCTTCTTCTCCACCATGGAGCTGACGGCAACCCAGCCCTCCTCGTCCAGCGTCGTGACGGTCGGCGCCCGCTTGCCGGGGGTGATCTGCTTTGCCTCGACAAGACGTGACCTCTCGATGTTGTACTGGCACAGGACAAACCTCTGAGCGGTGATGACACCGCGGATGCGGGCGGCGATGAGCTCGACGAGCTCGACGTTGGAGGGGTTGCGGGACTTGATCAGGACGGACTGCGAGTCGACGACGGTGTCGATGGCCTTGAGGCCGGCGGCCCTCATGGTCTCGCCGGATTCTGGGGTACGGTCAGTCTCCGTCCTCACAGCCAGCCTCACAAACAAAACGGGACTACTCACCAACGAGATCGACGATGCCGTCGGCAACACCCAGCGCGCAGGCGGCCTCGACACTTCCGCTGAGCTCAATGACCTTGGTGCGCAGCTTCCTGGGCGACGTGTTGCTGTTGCCGTCGGCGTCGACGCCCAGCTCGAGCTTGGCAAAGTGCTCCTCGGCCAGGTTGACGAAGCTGGTGCCGATGGTCTTGCCTACCAGGTCTTGCGTTGTGGCGTAGGCTCCCTTCTCGGGGACCTGGACCTGGAGCTTGCAGGCACCGAAGCCGAGCTCCATGACCATCTCGCAGCCACCGGCGGGCTTCAGCTCGCCATCGCTGAGGTCGACGGACGCTCTCCTCGACTTGTTGTGGGCAATGATGCCGGCATCGTGCTCCCTGACCTGGTCCCAGCCCGTGATTCCGAGGTCGACGCGGCCCTCGCCAACAAAGGTCGGGATATCGGCGGCAGGCAGGAAGATGAGGGCGATGGGGAGGTTCTTGACGAGGGCAATGTCGAGACGGCTCTCGCGGCGGAACTTGATGTCGGCTCCCTCAAGCAGGTCCAGGGTGGCCGAGTTGAGGCGGCCCTCTGCGGATGGCATTGTCAGCGCATAGATCCACGGCAGACGCGGTTGACTCACTTTTGGGCACGGCGAACAACAGGCGACCCTCTAGGCTTTCCTTCGCGATCAGCTTCTCCTTGAACTGGGCCATGATGCTTTTGGCTTGGGGAGGGGTAAGACCAACTGGTTGACCAGATCCATGACGGGCTAGGTATGTCTACGCTCTACAATGCCGTGGAGAACGTGGGGGTATGTTTGCCCTCGATGTCGCTATGGGCTCGTGGATTGGGCGAGAACGTCGGGCGCGCAGGGATGGAGCACAGCGTCGTAGCAAATCCAATGATGCGACAAGATTTCTGCAGCAGCGAGAACGGCAGCCGGGTTGCACAAGGGACGGCGGGGTTGGGAAGGTTAAGTTGGAGCGATTGCCGAGTCAATTGGCCAGGATCGAAGGTGTCGAGGTGAAGATGAGATGGCCCGGCTGGCTCTGCGCGACTTTGTATTCTCTTTCCGTCGTCTCTCGTTCGTCGCGGAAGGTGTCCGGCGGGGTGGTTCTGCGGTGAGTCAAAACGGAGGCACTGAAGCCAGACGACGCGGAAATTTTGTGTGGGCTGGGCCGTCTGGCTGGTTAGTGTGCCGCGGTGCAGCAGCAGCGCTAGCGTTCACCACGTTGGCCTATGTCGGAGCTCGACTGGCCGCAGAGACGAAAAAAATCGCAGAGGTGCGACGGGATGGCGGGGCACGCCGTTGAACGCGGGGCAGTCCTGGACGTCTGCGGCGGCAGATGCCGGACGCTGGAGGGGCAGCGCCGGTGGAAGCATGAAGTGACGCATGTCCTGCGCGGCATTGCCCTATTCGTGAGGTGGAGGGCCGCAATTGTGGAGCGCAGTGCGATTGAGAGAATGCCATCCTTAACGACGGTATTCGTTGCCGATGGAGGCAGCCTTGTTGGTGTTGGTGGTGTTAAGGCCATTGACTTTGCGGTGATTGTCAATAAGAGATGGACGGTCTCTCTCTCTCTTCCATTGGCAGAGATATGCTATTCAAAGTAGACGAGACCAACCCAATTCAACTCAACTCAGACAGAGACAAGCAATTCAACGTGTCCCAACGCCTGGCCCTAGACAGCAGCATTCCTCTTCAGACCGATGATCAAGGGTCTCGAGTGCCTCTGTCTCTGTCACAACCACGGCTCGACAACTGACCTGTTTAGGTTTAATGCAAGGGGTATTTCAACCAGAACACGTTGCAATGCTGGAGCGCCGAGAGAATGGACGTAGGTTCACGCGTTAATTAGATGCATATTAGCGACCAGGAACAAGATCCAGTTGATTGGACATGCCGACGACTCGGAGTCTCCCTCTGTCCGCCCTGGTCAGAGCTTCAGCACCAGAAGCCCGTCGGCTTCCACCTGGCTTCTATTTCCAACAGCACCTCGCCCGGGGAAACAAACGACAGGGAGACGAGGCACGGCGACAGGCCAGGTAGGGAGACACCTTCCACCAGACCACTTAGACGAGACACTACTCGTGCCGTCTGGACTTTTGTTATCCACGCACGGCAGCATTCTGTGCTCCCTCGCATCCTCGTCGTGTCCAGTAGGTTTTCACGAATGTCGCAGTATCTCTCCATCAAGCCACGCTTCTTGTTGGAGCTGATGACCCCATCCGCACCGTCCGTCATGCTCTTCTCGTCCTGGTCCGTCCGTGTATCAAATGCGCCGCCCCTATCCCCGACATCCAGTACCTAATCATTACATACTTTATCCCAACCGCCCGCAGCCGC